AATGCTTTTCATTCACGTTAAATCTGAGAATGGCCTTTTTAAAACATACAACACAGGGAATGTGGTAGTAACGTAAGAGAATCATCACCACATTCGTTCCATGGGTAGAGTAAGGAAGAGACTATGAGACCTTCGAAAGATAATGGTGTAGCAATCACGGTACGTTAGGAACATGACTAAGCATCTATCATATTCTTTGTCTGAAATTGGTTGCAGACGTTCACGGGCTGCAATAGACGCTTACTATCAAGTGGACAGTAAGTTTGTTTAACACTAACGTTTTATAAAAAAAAAAAATTCAATCAACAAATCATATTGCGTTTATAAAGGCTCTTGTGAACATAAAATCATTGATATCAAAGGGTAGAACGTTTTTACGAGACAATAGCAAGGGTAATCGTAATATGATTCGCGCAAAATTGGCAATAACGCTGCCCTTGCTTTGAATCGGTTTTCACGTGTGCTTCGTTTTTAAAATTCTCGATGTTAAAAGGACGTATAATTTGAGCCTACTTTTTGGCATATATCATATTGCTATGTTCTGCAGACGAAAGTAATCGTAAGTTTTTTATACGTGGAACGACGAGCCACACTGCAGCTATACTATGGTTATAGCAGAAATGGGTCTGCACAAAATCACAGTTTAATGCTGCTATGTTTCGTACGGTGAAAGTTAGAGAAGAAGAGAAACGAGGCATTCCATTTTAGTCCCTGTGAACTAAAATGGAAACCTTCGGTTCCAGTAAGAAGGGTATCCGTTTCTCTATACTCAACATACTACTCTATACTACGAAACACAGCAGCAATAAACTGCTATTTCACGCTGGTACTCTGTGAGAACGTGATCTTACCCCGGTTGAGCCGAACTATTCCTACTACAACCACAATAGAGTTGCAGCGTGGCTCCACAACGGATCGAATAACTCATTATCTCTTTGTATATATATAATATTTACTATAACTAAGTCTCTTTTTAAAATATATCTAAGTAATAAATCACGTTGCTTTATAATCCCCATAAAATTTGTGAATGAATAAGCGATTTTCGTATCAAAGTTGGAAATCTGCTTGCGTAAATTTTAATCCAACCAGTAAAATGTAATTATTTTTGAACATAAATTCCATTCATTATATTCGAGCATACCGTACTCGTATCTTTGCTTTTGTGACAGATAATCGGATATTCGTAATATTTTTATAATACGGTTGTCTTTGAAAGTGAGTTAGGGAATAAATTTATTTTTAATATACTTTCTTTTTACTCGACTACACTAAAAAGGAGTGTAAAGTTTTTCGAGAATGTTTACGTATGTGAATGTTTTTATAGTTTAATTAATAATATAACTATGTACTTATTTGAAAACTTTTATTCGTATTTAACTTATTTAGGCACATGCCAATAAGATATAACAAATATTGTAATACCCTAAAAGGCTGGTTATGTTGTAAGACACCTAATATTATAAACTAACACTGAAGAATTTTGGACAAAATAACGCAGGATTTAATTTAAAGAATTAGAATTAAGTATAAACAGTCTTTGTGTAACGAACGGAAACGACAAAAAGGTATAATACGGCTAAAGTAAAAGTTACAAAGGTGGCATAGATATTGGCGTTAACATGATCAGATTTATTAAGTACTTAATCACAAAATTAAAATGAAGTAACACACCCAGTCTGCATCTCTTGTATATAAAAGGGAACTACATTAACTGTAATGCAGATTGTAACAAACCACAGCCAACCAAGCCCCTACATATCTTGTAACAGTTAATGTAGTTCCCTTTTATATACAATATTATAATCTATGGTTCCTGTATTCTTATTCAGAGAGAACAAAGCGTCGTGTAAAGGCTAATTGCGCATGATTCAGTACGGGAAACTTTCACCTCCTTTAATGTATGAAATCGTCGCAGTTAGCGCGCGTTCTAATGACTAGAGTTTTTAAGAAATTGACAAAATTTTCTTTTGTCTAAGCATGTATAACTTTTATTTTTAAGTTTGTTTTTAAAAATACATTTACATCTAACAGCTTTTTTTCCTGCGGGCAATAATGTTAAATTCCAAGTTTTGTTATTTTCAAATAACTTATACTCTTCCGCAACGCCTTTTTTTCAGTGGCCTTTATCAGGTCCTGACAATGCGTTTTCATTCTTCTGTGGTTCAACACCGTGACATGCTGCTGTCATGGCAACCACTTGATGCTCGATCCACAGTCATGTCTGAATTCTATGTGAAATCATTTGGGTCATCGCCAAAACTAGAGTCAGAAGAACGTGTATTAGTTAACTCTATAACAGATAACAAGTTAACATTATTGTTTTCATTTGTATTTACATAGAAAAGAGAAAGGCAAAGTTGTCTAGTATTTGATACCGTTCTCTTGTAGAAATATCTGGAACTGTTTGTTAACATATTCACGACCATTGTCTGTTCTTAACATTTTTGTTTTTAAATTAGTTTGATTTTCCACCAGGCTTTTGAAAATCTCAAATACGGGCAACACTGTATTTACTTTTAATAAGAAAAGAAAAGGTCATTCTTGTGAAATAATCTATTAATTTTAACAGACATCTAGCAACACTTAATAAGGAAACTGACATAGGCCCACATAGATCGGAATGTATAAGTTTCTCTGTGGCTCTGTTTTTACAGAGACTGCTGTAGAAATGGTACTATTTTGTTTCCCTCAATAGAAGCTACACAGGGAGTGTTTACTATTGTTGTGTGTTTACAATAAAAAATTAATTTCATTGTCACGAACCTCAAGCTCGTAACACTAATGTAATCAATTCCACTAGCCACACCTTGTTTCAGTAAGTTCACACTTCTCATGTTGAGGTGCCTGAGTCGACGATACCATAACTCCTGTGATTGTGGGTTCGCCTTACACTAATTCACAGCTTCTGACCATTCATTGCCCAAAGCCTGGACCTTTTGTTCACTAATAGAGACGCCGCAGCAAGCTCGCGTTCCTTAGTTATCGACTCACTGTATCCACTTCAAAACCACCATTCACCTTTGTAGCGCTGGAAACTGGGATTTTATCACAATAATTGTAATAATATATACTAAATAAAATAATAAATGTATATGTATGTCAAAAATATCTTTTGTATATCAAAATACACCTCTTGTTTTTTTTGAAGCCATTTTTACAAAAAAAATTAGATTTTTAGACAAACCCGGCACTTAAATATTATTGTTATATTATACAATTCTAATTAAACTCTACTTCACCATGTCCCTCATTATTATCATTTGGTTGTTGGCCACATTCACATTTTTCACCCCGTTTCTCGCTTTTGTTTGTTTTGGTCGGACACATTTTAGTATAGTGATTCATTTATTTACATATAAAGCACTTGATCTTCGTGAAATGTTTGTTTACCCTTTTTGTAGGCCGGTTTATAAACATTGCACTTTCTTCCTTTTTATCATTGTCTCTGTGTAAATTTTCTTGCAATCATTTACATCTCACTGTTTTGCTACACAATTTAATGTTAGAATTTTCCAATGTCATAATGAGCGGGTCATCATCGTGTAATGGTGCGTTTATGTCTCATAGTTACTGATCTAGCTTCTAGATCTGGGTTGGTTTATACAGTTCTGACAAACTCCAAATGTACAACACTTAACTTAAAATAAATATTTTCAATTTTTATTTATGTATGTATGTATGTATGCCGTTTTCTTTGACACGATGTGTAGCATGAACGGTTTATATAGGCTGTTATTTAATTAGTCTTAGCTGCTAAAAAAATACACACACGCACTCGAAAAATTACCCTTCTTGTGGGGCGCGGTCGGATGAAAATAAGGAATAAAAAGCATTTCCAATGTAAAACAGTGCTCATATAAAGATTTTCATGGATTGGGAATGCAAAACCGGCCCTAATTAAAAACCGATTTTTTTTTTGGATTTCTCATAAAAAACCCGGTTTTCGGTGAACCAGTTTGAAAGTAAATTTTCTATTCTTTGTATAAATAAATGTTTTCAATTAATAATAGATACATCGTCAATGTCATAGCCACCGTGATCGTCATCTTTATCGTCATCGTCAACGTAATCGTCATCGTCATCATCAGCGTCATTGTCATCGTCATAGTCATCGTCATCGTCATCGTCAATGTTATCATCATCATCATCGCATTGTCATCGTCATCGTCATCGTAATATTCATCGTCAGCGTCATCGTTATCGTCATCGTAATCGTAATCATCGTCGTTATCATCATCGTCAATGTCATCGTCAATGTCATCGTCATCGTCAATATCATCGCCTCCTCATATTCGTCGTCATCGTCCTTCATGCCATCTCATCATCTCATCGTCATCGCATGATATACACACACACTCGTCATCATCATCATCGCCAATTTCATCGTCATCATCACATCATCATCATCACCGTCATAGTTATCGTCATCATCATCATCATCGTCATCATCATCGTCAATATCATCGTCATCGTGATCGTCATCGTCATATTCGTCGTCATCGTCATTATTATCGTCATCGTCAATGCCATCTTCATCATAATCGTCATCGTCATGATAATCATCGTCATCGTCTCATCATCATCATCATCATCATCATCAACATCGTCATCATCATCATCGTCAATGTCATCGTCATCATCATCGTCATCGTCATCATCATAATAATCACCGTCATCTTCATCATCGTCGTCATCACATCGTATCGCATCACCACATCATCACCATCAAACATCATTCATCGTGATCGTCATCATCATCATTGTCATCGCCATTTTCATTATCATTTTCATCTTCATCATCGTCATCGTCAATATCATCGTCATCGTGATCGTCATCGTCATATTCGTCGTCATCGTCATTATTATCGTCGTCAATGCCATCGTCATCATCATCGTCATCGTCATCGTCATGATAATCACCGTCATCATCATCATCATCATAAACATCGTCATCATCATCATCGCCAATTTCATCGTCATCATCATCGTCATCATCATCACTCATCATCATCATCGTCAGCAACATTATAGTCATCGTTATTGTCATCGTCATTTTCATCGTCATCGTCATTATCATCGTCATCGTCATCATCATAATAATCGTCATCATCGTCATCATCGTCATCATCATCATCGTCATCATCATAATCATCATCATCACCGTCATAGTTATCGTCATCATCATCATCATCGTCATCATCATCGTCAATATCATCGTCATCGTGATCGTCATCGTCATATTCGTCGTCATCGTCATTATTATCGTCATCGTCAATGCCATCTTCATCATAATCGTCATCGTCATGATAATCATCGTCATCGTCATCATCATCATCATCATCATCATCATCATCAACATCGTCATCATCATCATCGTCAATGTCATCGTCATCATCATCGTCATCGTCATCATCATAATAATCACCGTCATCTTCATCATCGTCGTCATCATCATCGTCATCGTTATCATCATCATCATCATCATCGTCATCAACATTATAGTCATCGTTATTGTCATTGTCATTTTCATCGTCATCGTCATCATCATCATTGTCATCGCCATTTTCATTATCATTTTCATCTTCATCATCGTCATCGTCAATATCATCGTCATCGTGATTGTCATCGTCATATTCGTCGTCATCGTCATTATTATCGTCGTCAATGCCATCGTCATCATCATCGTCATCGCCATCGTCATGATAATCACCGTCATCATCATCATCATCATAAACATCGTCATCATCATCATCGTCAATGTCATCGTCATCATCATCGTCATCATCATCATCATCATCATCATCATCGTAAGCAACATCATTATCATTTTCATCTTCATCATCGTCATCGTCAATATCATCGTCATCGTGATTGTCATCGTCATATTCGTCGTCATCGTCATTATTATCGTCGTCAATGCCATCGTCATCATCATCGTCATCGCCATCGTCATGATAATCACCGTCATCATCATCATCATCATAAACTTCGTCATCATCATCATCGTCAATGTCATCGTCATCATCATCGTCATCATCATCATCATCATCATCATCGTAAGCAACATTATAGTCATCGTTATTGTCATTGTCATTTTCATCGTCATCGTCATTATCATCGTCATCGTCATCACCATAATAATCGTCATCATCGTCATCATCGTCATCATCATCATCGTCATCATCATCACCGTCATAGTTATCGTCATCATCATCATCATCATCGTCAATGTCATCGTCATAATCGTCATCATCACCATCGTAATCATCATCGTCACCGTCATTGTCAATATCATTGTCATAATCTTCATCATCATCGTCATCGTCATCGTCATCGTCATCGTCATGTCATCGTCATCATTATTGTCATTGTCATCGTCATCTCATCGTCATAATCGTCATCGTCATCACCATCCTCATCATCATCGTAATCATCATCATCATCGTCATCTTCATCGTCGTCGTCATTATCGTCGTCATTATCATCATCGTCATCTTCATCATCATCGTCATCGTCATCGTCAATGTCATCGCCATAACCGTCATCGTCATCACCATCTTCTTCATCATCGTAATCATCATCATCATCGTCATCGTCATCATCGTCATCCATCTCACCGTGATCATCAATGTCATCGTCATCATCATCGTTATTGTCCTCATCGTCATCGTCATCTTCATCGTCATCACCATCGTCATCGTCATGATTATCGTCATTGTCATCGTCAATGTAATGTCACTCTCACGGTCAACGTCAATGTCATCGTAATAGTCATCGCCACCGTCATCGTCATCATCATCATCCTCAACGTCATCATCATCATCGTCGTCATCATCATGCTCTTCGTCATCGTCAATGTCGTCGTCGTCCTCATCGTCATCGTCATCTTCATTATCATCGTCATCGTCATCGTCATCTTCATTGTCATAATCGTCATCATCATCGACATCGTCATTGTCATCGTCATCGTCATAATCGTCATCATCATAGTCATCGTCATCATCATCTTCCTCATCGTCATCATCATCATCGTCATCGTCATTGACATTGTCATTTTCATCGTCAATGTCATCGTCATCGTCAATATCATCGTCATCGTGATTGTCATCGTCATATTCGTCGTCATCGTCATTATTATCGTCGTCAATGCCATCGTCATCATCATCGTCATCGCCATCGTCATGATAATCACCGTCATCATCATCATCATCATAAACATCGTCATCATCATCATCGTCAATGTCATCGTCATCATCATCGTCATCATCATCATCATCATAATATTCGTCATCATCGTCATCATCGTCATCATCATCATCGTCATCATCTCATCATCATCACCGTCATAGTTATCGTCATCATCATCATCATCATCGTCAATGTCATCGTCATAATCGTCATCATCACCATCGTAATCATCATCGTCACCGTCATTGTCAATATCATTGTCATAATCTTCATCATCATCGTCATCGTCATCGTCATCGTCATGTCATCGTCATCATTATTGTCATTGTCATCGTCATCTCATCGTCATAATCGTCATCGTCATCACCATCCTCATCATCATCGTAATCATCATCATCATCGTCATCTTCATCGTCGTCGTCATTATCGTCGTCATTATCATCATCGTCATCTTCATCATCATCGTCATCGTCATCGTCAATGTCATCGCCATAACCGTCATCGTCATCACCATCTTCATCATCATCGTAATTATCATCATCATCGTCATCATCGTCATCGTCATCGTCATCGTCATCGTTTTCACCATCGTCATCGCCATCATTATCGTTATTGTTATCGTCAATGTTATCGTCATCATCATCGCCATCACCATCGTCATTGTCATCATCATAGTCATCATCATAGTCATCATCACCCTCATCGTCATCACAGTCATCTCCATCATCATTGTCATCATCATCATCGTCGTCATCATCATCATCATCATCATCATCATCATCATCATCATCATCATCATCATCATCATCATCGTCAAGATCATCGTCAATGTCATCGTCATGGTAATCAACATTGTCATCGTCATCGTCATTGTCGTCGTCAATATCATTGTCATAATCTTCATCGTCATCGTCATCGTCAATGTCATCGACATCACCATCTTCATCATGATCCCAATCATCATCCTCATCGTCATCGCTAATGTCATCGTCATCATCATCGTCATCGTCATCGCCATCATCATCATCGTCATGATTATCGTCAATGTCATCGTCATGGTAATCACCATTGTCATCGTCGTCGTCATTTTCGTCGTCAATATCATTGTCATAATCTTCATCATCATCGTCATCGTCATCATCATCGTCATCGTCATCATCATCGTCATCGTCATCGTCATCGTCATCGTCGTTGTCATCGTCATCATTATTGTCATCGTCATCGTCAATGTCATCGTCATCATTATTGTCATCGTCACCGTCAAGTCTATGTCATCGTCATCGTCATCGTCATAATCATCATCATCGTCATCAACATCATAGTCATCATCATTGGCATTGTCATTTTAATCGTCATCGTCATCATCATCATACTCATCGTGATCGTCAATGTCATCGTCTTCATTTATCGTCATCATCATCATCATCGTCATCGTCATCATCATAGTCATCGTCATCATCGTTATCGTCATCGTGATCATCATCACCATCGTCATTTTCATCGTCAATGTTATCGTCATCATCATCGTATTCATCATCGTCATCATCATCGTCATTGTCATCATCATTGTCATCATCATCGTCATCGTCATCGTCACAATCGTCATCATCACAGTCATCGTCATCATCATCGTCATCGTCGTCATCATAGTCATCATCATCGTCTTCAACATCATAGTCATCGTCATTGTCATTGTCATTTTAATCGTCATCGTCATCATCATCATCCATCTCACCGTGATCATCAATGTCATCGTCATCATCATCGTCATCATCATCTTCATCATCATCGTCATCATCATCGTCATTGTCATCGTCATCTTCATCATCATCGTCATCGTCATTATCATCATCGTCATCGTTATTGTCACTATCATTTTCATCGTCATCGTCATCATCATCATCCTCATCGTCATCATCATCATCGTCATCATCATCATACTCGACGTCGTTTGACTTCGCCTGTGCGGGTATTACAGAGACCACGTCACACGCAGCCTTGTCCCGTTACATAACCGAGGAGCATCTAAATTTCGCATTAGCGTCACTGGGATGCCTAATTTTGATTGATGCTTATGTGAGGGCACACCTGACAAATCTAGAGAATTTAAAAACTCTACGGGATATGAAGTGCTCTGTTCTGTGTCTATAACTGTGTCTACTGACAAATACTCTGTTATTTCTCCTGCTACTTCGCTTAATATATCTAAATTTATTTTGTTAACGCTATTATGCTTTGGTGCAAGAATCGCCCTTTCACATAACCATTTGTATTCATGCATGTTGTTCGTTAAATCTGAATAACCGCTCGCAATTAATTCGGAATGACTGTACTAAATTACAAAAATCTCTCGTCAATTTAACACAGCCCTCAGCATCCGTTTCCAACCGCCCATCGCCAATATTTAATAGTTTCCAGCATTGATATCATTATACAAATGTACTCTCATATTCGTAGTTAAACTGAATTTTGTCACCTTGTTCCATAAAATAGACGACTTGAGGCATGCTTAATTTCATCTGCAGGTGTGCCCTTTTGAATGACAGGTAAAGTTTGGCAAAAGTCACCAGCCAGTAAAACCACCATTCCTCCCATTACATCGGTATTGCTGCGCAAATCCTGGAGCGTTCGATTAAGTGTTTCTACAGCTTTTTTATGCGATATTACACTCGTCCCACACTAAAGTTTGCATTGTCGTAGCATTATAGCTCGTGCACTATTTTTGCTAAAGTTGCAGATCAGCGATTCTCCTGGGCTAGATTTAGAGGGAGTTTTAAAACAGAATGTGCAGTGCGGCCCCCGCTTAGCAGCATGGCGGCTGTAACGGAGGAAGCTACGGCACAGCAATGTTTTTTTCTTTCCGTACTTGCGCTAATAATAAATTTAACAAAAATGTCTTACCAGTTCCTCCAGGGACATCTAAAAAGAAAAGTGCACCATTTTTCAGATTCAATTTGTCCTAATACTTTGTCAAAAACTCGTTTTTGTTCGGGAAGCAAGCGGGGTACAAATTCGGCTACTTGCTGCTGCAAAACTGGTATATCGTAGTTTGTTTTACGTATAATTTCATCACTTAGTTCATTTTCGGTTGTTCGCTGTGGGCTTATCATTCCAAAGTCGCTTAATTTTTTTGCCTACCATTGCCATTACTTTATCTTCAATGTTTCCAAGTGCTTCATTTTAAATATGTTCATTGTGTGTCATGTACGCATGTGTCTGCTGTAACCTTCGCAAAATATCTTCCGCCACGTACTCTTTATGTTTGTCCCACAATTCATGTGCATTAAATAGCCCGCAAGATGATATGAGAGTTGCATAACGATCCCTAATTTTGGCTGGTGACTGGCACTGCACAGCTTCCTCCATGGTTTCATACCAGTGATTATCGTTTTCTAAAAGATGCAGAGCTTAACATGCTTCTCTATAAGTTGCGCATTCCTGACCGTTGACAGTTTAGGTCTTAATATCCTGTAGGATCCCGAACATGATGCAACAGCAATCGTAAACAGAAACATTCAAAATTAGTTACATGGACGGTATACACACGACCAAGAGCATCTGATGACTTTACACCGGGCGAATTTGCAACAGGCGCGCCTTGAATACGGCGGTTCCACTCCTTCCTAGATGTGTTCCAAGTATAATAGCGGGGGACTTCAGAATATAACAACGTTTTTGCAAAGGGGTCGGTTTGCCAAAGTTGAAAGAAGGCTGTTAGTGCAGTTTTTGTCGGCGATGCAATTCTTTCATGGAAATTTCTTTCGGTGAAATATACACGCTCTCCATTTTCTAAGTGCACAGCATGGTAAGTAACTGATGGGTGCCTTTCGTGTAAAGGGAAGCCAAGGAGACGCCATGCTGCCTCGTTACTGCTGACATAACGCTCTGCTTGAAAGGTCTGTACTTCGTTAACGGAATTTGCCTCACATTCACTCCTGAGATTAAATATTGCTATAAATATAAAACATATAAATAATTAAATTTAATTAGGCATTTCGCATATTTTACATGACTACACATTCGTATTTTCATTCTAAGTCGAGGGTAGATATAGATGGATATAGGCCACAGCATCCCCTTATTATCAGGTGGACCATATGCTCGTTTGTTATTATTCTATAAAAAATGGGCCAGCACGGGAAACATCATAGTTGGTGATATGATTTATAATCACTGTAAATTAATAAAGTAATGTGGTTGAAAATAAATAAAAATTGCAAGTCACGTCAAGTGTGTAGTAGTTGACAGAAAGGCGCACGTATTAAAAAACTCGCACAGAGAAGCAACGAACTGTATATTTTATGTATCACTTACGTATGCTATATGTACTACGTACTACGTATACGTACTACGTACGTATATTATACACCTACTTACTATATTACTGCGTAGAACTTTTAAAATTTAAACAGACAAGGGAGTCATAAGCGTTGGTATAGAGAGGGCATGACGTCATAATAGGTAGTCATGCCGTTTGATATTCACATCACAAATCTTTGCTCTTTCATAATTCAATAGCCCGTAAATCTTCACTGCTGGATGCACATCCGGCTCTCATATGAATCTTACACTACCTTGTTGGCAACAAATAATTAAAGATGTATATGTGTCCGTAAGTGTGCATTCTTACGGTAAGTTAAGTATTGTTTTATTTTGGTTTGCATCACATAAAATGTGCGCAAAATTAGTCTGAATATTAACATTTCAAAAACTATCAAGAACGACTACCTTGGCTGGAAATTATATAGAAGATCCTTAACAGCTCGATGGCACAGTAGCTAAGAAGTTGGTTGTGGCACTGTGAGCCCTGGGTTTGAATCCCGCCCGGAAGGTTTGTTTGTATGACCTTCATATAATTGTTCTGGGTCTGAATGGTCACCCATGTGCTTTGTTTAAGATAAGATATTTTACTAGGACAGGCTGTGAATCATTCCATCTTCGTCCTTAGAGGTGATAACGTATGTGTAACCTTTTTTGTTTGATGTGTTGTTTGGTACAAATACTGCAGTAGCCACTTACAATGTGGTGAACTGTAAGTTCGTTCAGATACTCCGTTTTCCGTGCCAAAAAAGTATGAAATATCTCATAATATTTTTTTATATTCACACTATAAAAATACGAAGTGAATTCATATAGTGAAGCTTATCATCGCGCCACGACGTCTACTGGCCCTCAAGTATTACATTATAAGAAATACAATTATATAAATAAATAAAAAAGCTGGCGTTAACTTTTAGTTGTTTATCTTCAGTCACGTTACGTTGCAACATTTTATAGCATTAGATATGACCTCTTAATTCCTGCTCAGTGGCAAGAGTGTTCTGGACTAGTAAGAGGAATATTCTGCTGCATTTGTCTGTCGCCTAACAACTTATCAAAGTTAGGGCCCTGAAACTACTAATTTTCAAAACCTTCATTAGTGTTCAAATTACTCTTCAGCTGAATCTTTTAATTTTGCATTTTGCTAAAATTTCAAGCTAATAACTTTTTACATCTTTTGAACTTTGAGTCACTTCTTCATTTGTTTACTCAAATTTCTAAGAAAGAAGTTAGTTTATGCATATCATCTATAAACAAAAGTGAAGTGGCCGTGAATATATCAAAATGATTGTCTTCTATTAAGCTATTTTCATGGTATTATGTTATAAGCACATATTTTTAAATGTTTGTACGTCGGTCTGTCCATAATAATCTCCGGAATGGCTGAACTAAATGTAATGGAAATTCACAAACAGATGGAGAGCAATATAGTGAGCTATAATTTATCTGAATAACTTGGACTTTAAAAAAAAGCAAAAATTTATAAAATTAATGGTCTTTAATTATCTCCAATCTAAACGTTCTATTTTATCCAGGCAAAGCTGAAACGAGTCGTTAGTTTATTATAAAACTGTAAAAACTATATTTTTCATGTTAACGATTATGATTTTTTATACGTGGTAGAGTCATATTATGTTGCAGCTATATTATGGTTGTAGCATGAATGGATCGGCTCGACCGAGGAAGAACCACACTCTCACCAGCGTGAAATAGCAGCTTAATGCTGCTGTGTTTCGTATGGTAAATGTAGAGATCTGCCGACCCTTTTTACTGTAAACGAGGCAATCCATCTTAATCCTCAGATGTGACAACGCATATGCGTTTTGATTCTTAATCGAGGATAAGTGAAGATGTCTATGGGCCACAGCATCTGTGGACATAGGACTGTGTCCTCGTTCGTCATCTTTAGGCTATAAAAAATGCAATGCTTTTCATTCACGTTAAATCTAAGAATGGCCTTTTTAAAACATACAACACAGGGAATGTGGTAGTAACGTAAGAGAATCATCACGACATTCGTTCCATGGGTAGAGTAAGGGAGTGACTATGAGACCTTCGAAAGATAATGGTATAGCAATCACGGTACATTAGGAACATGACTAAGCATCTATCATATTCTTTGTCTGAAATTGGTTGCAGACGTTCACGGGCTGCAATAGACGCTTACTATCAAGTGGACAGTAAGTTTGTTTAACACTAACGTTTTATAAAAAAAATCAATCAACAAATCATATTGCGTTTATAAAGGCTCTTGTGAACATAAAATCATTGATGTCAAAGGGTAGAACGTTTTTACGAGACAATAGCGAGGGTAATCGTAATATGATTCACGCAAAATTGGCAATAACGCTGCCCTTGCTTTGAATCGGTTTTCACGTGTGCTTCGTTTTTAAAATTCTCGATGTTAAAAGGACATATAATTTGAGCCTACTTTTTGGCATATATCATATTGCTGTGTTCTGTAGACGAAAGTAATCGTAAGTTTTTTTATACGTGGAACGACGAGCCACACTGCAGCTATACTATGGTTATAGCAGAAATGGGTCTGCATAAAATCACAGTTTAATGCTGCTATGTTTCGTACGGTGAAAGTTAGAGAAGAAGAGAAACGAGGCATTCCATTTTAGTCCCTGTGAACTAAAATGGAAACCTTCGGTTCCAGTAAGAAGGGTATCCGTTTCTCTATACTCAACATACTCGAAACACAGCAGCAATAAACTGCTATTTCACGCTGGTACTCTGTGAGAACGTGATCTTACCCCGGTTGAGCCGAACTATTCCTACTACAACCACAACAGAGTTACAGCGTTGCTCCACAACGGATCGAATAACTCATTATCTCTTTGTATATATATATAATATTTACTATGACTAAGTCTCTTTTTAAAATATATCTTAGTAATATCACGTTGCTTTATAATCCCCATAGAATTTCTGAATGAATAAGCTATTTTCGTATCAAAGTTGGAAATCTGCTTGCGTAAATTTTAATCCAACCAGTAAAATGTAATTATTTTTGAACATAAATTCCATTCATTATATTCGAGCATACCGTTTATCTTTGCTTTTGTGACAGATAATCGGATATTCCTAATATTTTTATAATACGGTTTTCTTTAAAAGTGAGTTAGGGAATAAATTTATTTTTAATATACTTTCTTTTTACTCGACTACACCAAAAAGGAGTGTAAAGTTTTTCGAGAATGTTTACGTATGTGAATGTTTTTATAGTTTAATTAATAATATAACTATGTACTTATTTGAAAACTTTTATTCGTATTTAACTTATTTAGGCACATGCCAATAAGATATAACAAATATTGTAATACCCTAAAAGACACACACAGAAAAAGACACCACAAGTAAGACACCTAATATTATAAACTAACACTGATGAATTTTGGATAAAATAACGCAGGATTTAATTTATAGAATTAGAATTAAGTTTAAACAGTCTTTGTGAAATGAACGGAAACGACAAAAAGGTATAATACGGCTAAAGTAAAAGTTACAAAGGTGGCATAGATATTGGCGCCAACATGATCAGATTTCTTAAGTACTTAATCAGTAAATAAAAATCGGTTGGTTTATACAGTTAACACTTACCATTAAACTAAATTATTCGAAAACCTAGACGAGAGACACAACTACAATGTTTATCTTTAAACATTTAGTGAGCATATATTTTCAGTTGCCAAATATTCTAAATTAACTATTTTATCATTCACAATTTGTCTTATATATTGATGTATAATCTTAGAGTAATAACATACATACGTAGTCTGTGTGTTTACTACAAGTATGATTAATTTGATAATTACAAATTTTATGTGCTGAAAATTATTGATAAATATTTGCCCAAGCATTTATAAAGAAAACTTTTACTAATTTAACTTCCCTTGCTCCGTCACACAATGCCATGTATTTCGTTTCCGTGCTCGACAAAGCCACTGTCCTTTGTTTGCAGTTTTCCCATGACCAGCAGAGCCACCTATTTTAAATACATATACACTGGTTTCGTGTTTGCAATACTTTGATCCAGATGATTAGATGCCCAGTCTGCATCTACATATCTTGTAACAGTTAATGTAGTTCCCTTTTATATACAATATTATAATCTATGGTTCCTGTATTCTTATTCAGAGAGAAAAAAAGCGTCGTGTAAAGGCTAATTGCGCATGATTCAGTACGGGAAACTTTCACCTCCTTTAATGTAAGAAATCGTCGCAGTTAGCGCGCGTTCTAAAGACTAGAGTTTTTAAGAAATTGACAAAATTTTCTTTTGTCTAAGCATGTATAACTTTTATTTTTAAGTTTGTTTTTAAAAATACATTTACATTTAACAGCTTTTTTCCATCGGGCAATAATGTTAAATTCCAACTTTGGTTATTTTCAAATGACTTATACTCTTTCGCAACGCCTTTTTTTTCCAGTGGCCTTTATCAGGTCCTGACAATGCGTTTATATTCATCTGTGGTTCAACACCGTGACATGCTGCTGTCATGGCAACCACTTGATGCTCGATCCACAGTCATGTCTGAATTTTATGTGAAATCATTTGGGTCATCGCCAAAACTAGAGTAGAAGAACGTGTATTAGTTAACTCTATAACAGATAACAAGTTAACATTATTGTTTTCATTTGTATTTACATAGAAAAGAGAAAGGCAAGGTTGTCTAGTATTTGATACCGTGCTCTTGTAGAAATATCTGGTTTGTTAACATATTCACGACCATTGTCTGTTCTTAACATTTTTGTTTTTAAATTTGTTTGATTTTCCACCAGGCTTTTGAAAATCTCAAATACGGGCAACACTGTATTTACTTTTAATAAGAAAAGAAAAGGTATTCTTTAATCTAAAGAGATATCTAGCACACTTAATAAGGAAATTGACATAGGCCCACATAGATCGGAATGTATAAGTTTCTCTGTGGCTCTGTTTTTACAGAGACTGCTGTAGAAATGGTACTATTTTGTTTCCCTCAATAGAAGCTACACAGGGAGTGTTTACTATTGTTAAATTTTTATTGTCACGAACCTCAAGCTCGTAACACTAGTGTAATCAATTCCATTAGCCACACCTTGTTTCAGTAAGTTCACACTTCCCATGTTGAGATGCCTGAGTCGACGATGGGATAACTCCTGTGATTGTGGGTTCGCCTTACACTAATTCACAGCTTCTGACCATTCATTGCCCAAAGCCTGGACCTTTTGTTCACTAATAGAGACGCCGCAGCAAGCTCGCGTTCCTTAGTTGTTGACTCACTGTATCCACTTCAAAACCACCATTCACCTTTGTAGCGCTGGAAACTGGGGTTTTATCACAATAATTGTAATAATATATACTAAATAAAATAATAAATGTATGTCAAAAATATCTTTTGTATATCAAAATACACCTCTTGTTTTGTCACTGCTTATGTCATCCTCATCGTCATCGTTAATGTCATCGTCATCATCATCGTCATCGTCATCGTCATCATCATCATCATCGTCATCATCATCGTCAATGTCATAGTCATAATCGTCATCATCATCGTCATCGTCGTCGTCAATATCATTGTCATAATCTTCATTATCATCGTCATCGTCATCGTCATCATGTCATCGACATCATTATTGTCATCTTCATCGTCAATGTCATCGTCATCATTATTATCATTGTCATCGTCATCTCATCGTCATAATCGTAATCGTCATTACCATCCTCATCATCATCGTAATCATCATCATCATCGTCATCGTCATGGTTATTGTCATTTTCATCGTCATCATCATCATAATCATCATCCTCATCGTCATCGTCGTCCTCATTATCATCGTCATTATCATCATCTCATCATCATCGTCATCGTCATCGTCATCGTCAATGTCATCGCCATAACCGTCATCGTCATCACCATCTTCATCATCATCGTAATCATCATCATCATCGTCATCGTCATCGTCATCATCATCACCATCGTCATCGTCATCATTATCGTTATTGTTATCGTCAATGTTATCGTAATCATCATCTTCATCATCATCTTCATCATCATAATCATCATCATCGTTATCGCTAATGCATCCCATGTCATCGTCATCACCATCGTCATCGTCATCATAATCATCGTCATGATCATCGTCAATTTAATCGTCATAATCGTCATGGTAATCACCATTGTCATCGTCATCGTCATTGTCGTCGTCAATATCATTGTCATAATTTTCATCATCATCGTCATCGTCATAATCGTCATCGTCATCACCATCGTCATCATAATCGCAATCATCATCATCATCGTCATCGTCATCATCATCGTCATCGTTGTCATCATCATCATCATCCTCATGGGCATCATCATCGTCGTCGTCATCATCATACTCACCGTCATTGTAATCATCATCATCACCCTCATCGTCACTGTCATCGTCATCATCATCATCCTCATCGTCATCATCCTCATCGTCATCATCATCATACACGTCGTCATCGTCAATATCATCGTCGTCATCACGTCATCGTCATCTTCATAATCTTCATTATCGTCATCATCATCATCGTCGTCGTCATTGTCATTGTCATTTTCAGCGTCGTCATCATTATCCTCATAGTCATCGTCATCATACACGTCGTCATCGTCAATATCATCGTCGTCATCACGTCATCGTCATCTTCATATTCTTCATTATCGTCATCATCATCATCGTCATCGTCATTGTCATTGTCATTTTCATCGTCAACGTCATCATAATCCGCAATCATCATCATCATCGTCATCGTCATCATCATCGTAATCGGTCATCATCATCATCATCCTCATGGGCATCATCATCGTCGTCGTCATCATCATACTCACCGTCATTGTAATCATCATCATCACCCTCATCGTCACTGTCATCGTCATAATCATCATCCTCATCGTCATCATCCTCATCGTCATCATCATCATACACGTCGTCATCGTCAATATCATCGTCGTCATCACGTCATCGTCATCTTCATAATCTTCATTATCGTCATCATCATCATCGTCATCGTCATTGTCATTGTCATTTTCATCGTCATCGTCATCATTATCCTCATAGTCATCGTCATCATACACGTCGTCATTGTCAATATCATCGTCGTCATCACGTCATCGTCATCTTCATATTCTTTATTATCGTCATCATCATCATTGTCATCGTCATTGTCATTGTCATTTTCATCGTCATCGTCATCATTATCCTCATAGTCATCGTCATCATCATCGTCATCGTCATCATCATCGTCATCGTCACGGTCATCGTCAATGTCATCGTCATAGTCATCGTCATCGTCATCCTCATCGTCATCCTTATCGTCATCGTCGTCGCCATCGTCGTCATCATCGTCATTGTCATCATCATCGTAATCCTCATCGTGATCGTCATCATCATCGTCATAATTGTCATCATCGTCAACGTGATCGTCATCATAATCGTCATCGTCATCCTCATCGTCATCGTTATCGTCATCGTCGTCGCCATCGTCATCATATCGTCATTGTCATCGTCATCGTTATCATCATCGTCATCGTCATATTCATTGTCATTTTCAGCGTCATCATCATCATCATCATCCTCATCTTCTTCATTGTCTTCATTATCATCGTCATCGTCATAGTCATCGTCATCGTCATCATCATCGTCACGGTCATCGTCAATATCATCGTCATAGTCATCGTCATCACCATCGTCATCGTCATCATTATCGTCATCGTTATCGTCATCATACTCGTCGTCATCGTCAATATCATCGTCATCATCATCATCGTCATCGTCATCTTCATAATCATCATTATCGTCATAATCATCATCGTCATCGTCATTGTCATTGTCATTATTGTCTTCATCATTGTCGTCATCGTCATAGTCTTCGACATCGTCATCATCATTGTAACGGTCATCTTCATCATCATCATCCTCGTCGTCACTGTCATCGTCATCATCCTCATCGTGATCATCATCATCGTCATCATCATCATCGTCATCATCATCATACTCGTCGTCATCGTCAATATCATCGTCGTCATCATCGTCATCGTCATCTTCATAATCATCATTATCGTCATCATCATCATCGTCATCGTTATCATTATCCTCATAGTCATCGTCAATCTCATCGTCACTGTCATCGTCATCACCCTCTCGTCATCGTCATCATCATCGTCATCGTCACGATCATCGTCAATGTCATCGTCATAGACATCGTCATCGTCATCATTATCGTCATCGTTATCGTCATCATCATCGTCATCGTCATCACCATCGTAATGGTCATCGTCATCGTTATCGTCATAATCGTCATCATCATCGTTATCGTCATCTCCATCGTCATCACCATCATCGTCACCGTGATCGTCATCACCATCGTCATCGTCATCCTCATCGTCATCGTTATCGTCATCATCATCGCCATCGTCATCATCATCGTCATTGTCATCGTCATCGTCATCACCATCGTCATCGTCATCATCATCGTC